GGCTCCGATCCGAAAGGGTGCGGAGCAAGGCTGCCCTGCAGGGGCAGCTGAAGGTAGGGGGGATCCGGAAAAGGGTTTGGGGGTGCTGCAGACCCCCTCCCTGGCCGGCAGAACCCCCTTTTACCAAGACGGTGCAGCGGCGGTCCGTAATGGCCGCCACAAAGAAGCCGGCAGCTGGGCAAGTATGCGCAGGAGGAAGAGGAGAAAGTTTTTAAAAGTGAAAGTCTTCTTGGTCGATCCAGGACTCTAAGATATATTTAATTTAATTCCTGAAAATGATGGCTTTTTGGATGATTCTTTCCACAAGAGAAAATAAGCGGCAATTCTGAGGTGCTGAAAGGAAAGTTTACTTTCCCTCCCGACGGAATTAATAAATGGATATTGAGAAACCTGTGTTTTTTTTCAGGTAAAACTAGCTTTTTGGGATAAGTCGGAAGGGAGAGGACAAAAAATATATTTATCTGGTTGGATTTTGTTGGAGGAGATGCCTTAAGGATTTGAAAACAGAAATAAAATCTCAATAAGGCTTCAAAACACAGATTTGGATTTTCTTTTTTCCTTTGTCTGATACTACCCCTGGAAGAGAAAGGGGGAATTTTGGCTTGGCTTGGATTGATTGAGGATTGTGGACTTTGGGATTGTCTTATTTTTCTTTTGGAATATTTTGGTTGGTGTGAGAAGAAAGAGGGAAAAAAGAAAAGAAAAGATCTATAATGGCTTTTTCCTTTGAGGAACTGAGGGATGAGTATGAGCAAACAAAAGCAGCCTGTAAAGATGGTATGGAAAAAGCTTTTCTATTTTTAGAAATGGCGTTGGTTAACTATGAACAGACAATACAGATGGAAGTAGAAGAACAACAAGAAGAAGATGAAGACGCCATCTTTAATGAATCCCAAAATTCATCTAAGAAAGAAGGAAGGAAGAAAGTGAGGAAAATGAAGGACTTAAGATCTAAAAAAACATTTAAGAAAGAGAAAAATATGATGCAAAATAAATACAATGATAGCAAACAAGAGAAAAAGGGAATACAACAGAGAAGGGATGCCGGCAAGACAGAGGTTAGAAGAAGGGGGGGTAGGAAGATTTGGTGGGGGAAGAAAGAAAGGGGAAAGGTGGAGAAAAGCCACAAAGTTTTAAAATTAGATGGGAAAAGAGGAATCTTTTTTAGGGATAACGGGTAAAGCATAAATTTTCTTAAAAAAGATTTTGCAAGGTACATAAGATGGTATTGTAACATTTGTATTAGAAATAGAAAATTAGAATGGCTTAAGAGTTAATAAGAAATTAAAATGTTGAAATGTTTAATAATGATTGATTTTTAAAATGTAATAAAATATTGAAGGGAAAGGCAATGAGAATGCTATAAGATTTATTATTTAGATTTATTATTTAACTACGTATTTAGGAGGATACTATGTATTTAAACATTTTTGATTTTTTACTCTGTTTTTATTGTTACTAAAAGTAAAAATTAGTAGATAGAATGTACCAAGCAGAATCAAATTGGGTATTAGGTGTTATTTTAAATGTTAATCTAATTAATTTAGGGAGAGGATAGAAAGGCATCATACTCTGATTAGTGATTTCAGGAGAAATTCTTTTTTTTTTTCATTATAAGGAATGAGATAGAGGGATAATAAAGGATGGGCAAAAGATACAAATATAATGATTTAAATTAAGATGGATTGAATAAGATAGAATTATGAAGAGTGAAATGTGTGGAGAAGTTTATATAGAAGATACAGAATGGTAAACAAAATAGGTAATGATCTGTAAGATGAGCATGAATATAATTAAAGCCCATATAAAGAGAGGTACCTGGGGCCAAGTTACTTTACTAAAAGATTTTTTATATGTATGTTTGTGTCTGTTTATGTCTTTGAGAGTATTGGTGAAACCTTGTAGAAACATAGAAAGAGAGTGACGATAATCAAGTCAGAAAGAAATAGATGAAATAATATAGAAATGTATTGTATAAGATAAGGTTTTATCTGACTTGTTAAATTTATAATGGAAAAAGGTTCAAATATGTAATGGTTGATGATGATTTGTTTGTTTTTGAAATTAATAAAACTTGCTTAAAAAAAAAAAAACATCTGTAGCTGTACATTTTAACACACACTGCTATTTTTCCCATGTCCGTTTTTGTGGGTTTTTTTATCTGCGTATTTGTCTTGAGTTTCTTCTGACCTTGTTCTGGCTGATTAACTTTCAAAATAATCATTTAAGAAATAATCAGTATAAGCATAATCTCTGGATCCTAGACATCATCTTTAATATGACTTTCATGAGCACTTCAATACAAATGATAATGCTTGGGATGAACTGGTATTTTGTACAATATCCACTCCTGCTTTCAGTGTAGCATCCTAGCCTTTACTTTTACTTTAAAGTGTATTTAGAAATGTGATTATTTTTGTAATTTGCAAAATATTTGATGGCAAATATTTTTACAATTTGTAAATAGTTATTTTTAGAAGAGTTTTCAGTATTTTTAAAATAAAAATGGTTGCTAAAGAAAGAAAAAATGTCCTAATAGTTCATGGGTGTCAAACTTGCAGCATCATGTTGCCATCATGTGATGTTTCACGATGTTTTTCCTCTTCACGGAGCTGGGGTGGGCATGGTGCATCCGGCCAGTTTGATACCCCTGTAAATAGCTGATAATCCCTGCAAATATATAAAAAAGGGCACAAGAAAGGTATGTGTGTGATTCACAAATTAATTACACATTTATGGCTTGTCTGCTTGTCCCTGTTGAAAGAATCATCCTTCTGGGTTCAGTTCCAAGTGGGGAAAAAGACACTAGAAAAATGGAGGCTGTTTGGAAAGATGGTTTAATGGTGGACAGGACCACATGGCTTGGAGCTCCAAAGAAGAATGATCACATGCTCCAAGGTGAAGGAAAAGAGAAGGAAGGGCTGAGATGCTGAGAGTCCCTTGGTCTTATACCCTCTGTTGAGATTTGAATTTGAGCTTGTGTTCTGACTGGTTGTCAGACTCCCATGGGGCCATGCAGGGGAAACTCTGTACGCTGTCCTGAGTTCCAGGCTTGGTTGAGCTTTGTGGATGATGGTGTAATGAAAAGGGCTTTGGGCAATTCCTATTATAACTTTACCTGGAGTAGATCTTTGTTATGTAAAATATTCTGGCCCAGGCCAGAGTAATGGTCCATCAGCAAAGGTGTGTGTGGGGGGGTGATTTTCTGCTTCTGAGGTGTGTTTCTGCTTCTGAGTTTCTACTCTTTTTAGGAGAAATATTCTGCCTTTTTAATATTTCATAGGATATTTCATTTTTCTAGGAGAGGGGTGGGTGATAACTTCCTACATCAATATAAAACCAATAGTAATTCAAGATGTCTATGTCACCACAATCTCTAGAAACATTCCAGAAAAATATCTACCTTCAATTAGACATTTAAGGAATGAATTAATCATTATAGTGATACCAAGCTGATATTACATGGATTTTTTTTTGATATTAGTTTTTCTTTTATATTTACTTTAATGAATGTACACTTTTTATATTAAATGCCCCTGGAGTAGATGTTGTTTATGTGTTTGTCATATTTATGTGGTCACCTGTCTAACAATCAAGTGATTCATTAGTAAAAGAAAAATATAATATTTCCTCTCCTTCAAAGATCTACTCCCAAATGGGAAATATGTTATAATCCAAACAATTTATTTTAAAGTTAAAAAAAGAAAATGAAACAAACAGCTTTCTCCTAGGCCTTGAGATAGAACGTATGGAATCCCCTTTAGTTATATTTGACATATATTGCATCTGTTTTTATCTTAGTTGTCTTGGTTTTCCATTTTGTTTAATTTGTTTTCTGCATTTTTATGTATCTTATTTTATTTATGTTGTGCTTTTTACTTCTCTAACTGCCCAGGGTAAGTGTGGATTTGGATCTCAAGTTGGGTGGGCACTGTAGTTGAATAAATAAATATAATGGCTGCTTTTAAAAAATACATCAAAATGAAGATATAAACCAATTAAAAATAGGGTGGAACATTTTATGACAATATAAGTGAATCTTCAAAAATATTGAACTGATGATCTTCAAAAATATTGAACATGTGATTAAGAAAATGAGTGCCATTAAATAATATTTAATGTAGCAAAATGTGTATTCTGAGCCTTGAACCCACATCCTTTTCAAAAAAATGTTTTCTATACTTGTTACATTGCAAAGAAAATGTTTCATTTCAATGTTAATGGTTTTTTTAGTTTTCCAACTGCCATTTTTTGGCTACCTGCTTCTACTTAGCAGATGAAAATAAAGAGCTATATTAGTCAATTGAATAAACTATATTTTTAAAATTTCTTATAGCAAATATACATTTATGACCAAAGCAAGTTATACATAATACATTTATAAACCATACAAATGCATGTAGTTTAATTCACTGGTAGTGCGGGGGGGGGGGATAAGTTTTACCTGAAAAAAATGTTGATGGGGCAAGGTGTTTTCCATATGCTTCCAATATTTCCTGATTATATGTATTGCTAGTAGTGAAAAGTATGCCACCATTACTTAAAGTTTAATCTTGTGCTCAATTAGTGTTAATCACCTACACTTTGAATGAAAACAGAAGGTATCTACTGTATGCATGGCATTCCTCTATGCCACCATTATTAAGGATCCTCTGTTTATAACAGCTGAACAATGCACAATTATTTTATTTTCATACTAGGCACTCCTTTGCTCCAAGATCACTGTGGTTTCTAAAATACCATTCCACTCTGTTCTCATTTTCCAGAGTTCTTAATCTTCCTTGAGGTTCGTATTGATGTAGTCACTAATAGGATTGTGAGTATTAATTTGGAAATACATGCTTGGTGGCTACTGGCAGAAGAGCGACCTTGCATGTCAGCTAAGCAGTCCCACAAATGCTTTCATCTAATCTATGCCTGCTATTCGAACACAACACATGCTTTAAAGATCTCCGTGTCTATGGGATGCTGTTTCTCCTCCGGAGATCACTGAGGACACCATGGCAGTTACTTTCAAAACAATGCTAGGTCGGGTCAAGGATGTTTGCAAAAGGAATGGTTTACTCATTCTCTCAGTGTTATCTGTCATAGTGGGATGTCTTCTTGGATTCTTTCTGAGGACAAGGCACCTTTCTTCCCAGGTTAGTGATCTGAGCAGGTATAGCATCATTGAGGAACAAACGATTCATAAAATAAAACAGGTGTTGTCATGAAGGACATTTTGATGAATTGATATGTTGCAGAACAAGACATCTTGTTCTGAAAATGAAAGCTGTCTCCAGATATATATTTTTTAATCATTGAAAAGTTGAGCCACTGCAAAATGAAATGTATAAAATGTTAAATACTGAAGATGTTCCAATGGCAGGAACCTTAAAAAAAAATCTTGCATAGTTGTTAATTCCTGGTATGTCTGAATATACTAATCCCAGTGAAGCTAACGTGTGTTTTTTTTTAATACTTACATACTTACATTCCACAAACCATTTATTTTAAAGTGGTTTTGTTGATCTTAATAGATTTCCAGGGAAAGGTCCCCATTATTATTATTTACCTGTTAGCAGTGAATTTATTTTAGAAAGTATGTTTTAGGAAAACCTGAGGGATTCATATGTTTGTGCTTCCTTCCACTTTACCCACTTCCATAGTTTACACTTCATGCTGGGTAAGCTAGCTAGAAATGGTTTATTACCTATTTTTAGAAATAATAGGAATTTTCTCTTTTTGAAACAACAAAGACAAAAAGTTGTACAATGTGTGCCCCAAAGATGCTGGCTGAAGATGAGAAATATGAATTTGTCTCCCTATTGTGAGTAAAATAGAGTCACAATCTTCATCATGGATGCATTCACTTTGTAAGGGAATTGTTTTGCATGGCAAAATCTATAAGTACACATCAGGAAAGCAGGCAATATGACAGCATAAAAATTCTTCTGGTTTGCCATCTTAGCTAGTATAGCTCTGAACTAGTTGCATTCAAGTTGATCTGTGAAATGGAGAGATGACTTGGGAGGTTAACACTGTGAAAAGCTAAACACAAAATGAAGTTCCTTGAATATTGCAGGTTTTGACCTGGAAAACCTTAAAAGGTCTATGGTCAAGGTATCTGAATAAGCAGGGCCTCTTGTATGAATGTGTTCATAATTTATGTTCTTTGCCAACTTCTGAGGCATGTCCCAGCACCAAGAAAAACTAGGAGCATAGGAGAGATTCTTCTATAGCATCCAAACCATGAACTTCACACCTGCTTCATCCATCCCTGATGAGTTTTTAATAAGCTATGAGTACTTCAAGGTTCTGATGTCTTCTCATGAATTATATTGCTTCAGTTTGTTTTAACTGAGATATAGACAGGTAAGTCTGGCGGTTTGTGAATTTAGTGCTACCCGCCCCCCCCAAACAATAGCTAAACTAAATTCTTTCCTAGGTGCATCATTTTTATACTAAATATATCATTCATTTGAGAATCCAAGGAGTATTAAAATCACCATTTCAAAGAAAACCAATTATTAATACCCTCAATATATGTTCATTTTATCATAATTCCATTGTTTGTTTCTTATGCTGTTGTGTTGAAGAAAAAAATAATAATGTAGATATCAAAGCATCTTAACACTATTTTGAGATAAATGCTTTTTTAAAAAATCAATTCATCCATTTCCTTATTTCCTTAGGAAATTAGTTATTTCCAATTTCCTGGAGAATTATTGATGAGAATGTTGAAAATGTTGATTCTGCCTCTGGTTGTTTCAAGGTAAGTTAGCCTATATCAGTCCAATTGCTTTTTGTATAGTTTTCTTTTTAGATGATTCATTCCAAATAACATTGTGTGAATATTATTTTGGCAGAAACAGCGACTAGCTTTCCTGTTTAATCCAGATAATATATATTTGGAGGAACTGAAAAAGTTGCACAAGCAAAACCCTTTTGATCCCTTTTATAAGAGATATTACAACAATTAATGACCCTGTTTTTATACTGCAAAATAATCTGGGAAACTTTCTCTGTTTTTCCATGCATGATGTACATATAAGAATTTATAGAAAAATATCAGATACACTTAAGGCTGTGCAGAAACAATAATACCGGTACATTCTATTTCTATAATTACAAAGTTCACATTTACGATGGCATATATATCAGATACAGTATTATAATAATAGATATGGTAATGGCTAATATTGCAGATTTTCTTTAAGGTGCCTTTCCTATAAAAGTTTTCAGAAGCTAGGATGATGAAAAAAAAATGTTAGAATCAAGGTGAATTGATTTAAATGTAAAACAATTTTGGAATTGAGTGTTCTTAAACAGTGTGCAAATCTGATAACTAAATCATCCTAGTTCATCACTTGCTACAACACATTACAACAGTAAACATTTAAGTTTTATGAGTTATGGTTTAGTTAACTTGCTGTATACTAATCAGAAAACAGTGTATCACAACTAGAGTCTGCCAACAATAACGTTGGATCATTTCTGCAACTTCATGTTTTATGTTGATGAGAAAAGCAGAATAGGAAGTTAAAATGTAGAAAGGATTTTATGATATTTTTTAAAAAAACGATTTCAAAATTTTTGATATTTTTCTAGGATTTAAAAATAAGTATGGTAAATGTACTTAGTAAGGTATGACCCATGACTGTTTTTTCCCTCCCTCCCTCCCTCTCTTCTATCTATCATATTTATTTGATGTATGCTCATCTCATTCTCAAAAGTGACTCTGGGTGGCTATAAAATATAAAAATATAAAATATATTTTAGAAATCTAAAAACACCAAGCAACACTAATATAAAAATAGATCTAAATACAGGTCGGCAGTCACACGATCAGCAGGTAGCATCTAACCCCTGCATCTCTGAATCCAGACTGAAATGGATGCAGATGACTTGCTTCAAAAAGACTCCCTGTAGATGGACCTTCACAAGGCGTGGCTGGAGACGGTAATAGTTCTTCAGCAAGGCTGGATCAAGGGAGGACTTATTGCCATTTCTTTTGAGGCAGGTGCCATCACAAACATCTTCAAGAAGCATTGACTACTTCTCAGATGCAGTCACTCATGTTCACCTTCACTGCCAAAAGGAGCTAGGAGTGGCATGGGTTCATACTATATGTTCTGTCTTTAAATTGCTGGCTGAATATAAAGACAGTCAGGCAAACTCTACAAAGGCTTCCATACAAAGTTTCTTTATTGGAATCACAAGGCATCCTCAAGGTATAACTCACAGTTATGTCGAGATTCATCTTAATGTCCAAATATTTGCATAGTTGACTTCATAGTGTGAAAGTTATAGTGATCTTCATCCCATAACGATGGGGCAAAGGGTGAGACACCAGCACGATGCTGGGGTCCAAGCAAGAGTAAAGGAAACTCCCCCAACCCGACCAAGGGTCAATTCAGTGACCAATAAGGATTACAGATGTGATCACATGACATGAACTACATTTCCCATGATGCATTAACTACATTTGCCATGAGGCATTCCCTTAAGGGGACAGCTCCCAATTCTCACTTAACTATCTCAATTCCCAATTAACTATATACTGTCTGGACAGCACACTATAGAGCAGCGGTCGTGAGAAAATTTTGGTGGGCCGCAGAGAAATATCACCCCCAGAGCACCCCCCCAAAGCAATTAATCCAGGCTGCGCAGAAACACAAGGCTGTGCTGCCCACATGGCCCATAGGCCCATTAGCTAGGAAGCAGGAAGTCATTGCATTTCTTGCTTTATAGCTAGTCTTTAGAATTTCGGCTCTGTTTTTAAGAACAGCCGAACCTCCCTTAGGACTGAAGGTTCTATTAATCAGTGCAGACTCACGGCAAGCAAATTTTATGTGACAGACTCAGGTAGCCGATGACAGATAGATTGAATGATTCTGTGAGCAACTCAATCTGCCTGCCTGCTTTGCCTGATTTTGGGTAAAAGTTGCTCTTTTTTTTATAAAAAATTAAATATTTATATAAATATTTATAATATTTACATACAACCCATGCCCAGCCAGTCACATGACCACCAAGCCACACCTACAAATTAGGCCACACCCACAGAACCAGTTAGTGGTCTCTGAGATTTAAAATTATGAGTTTGGTGGTCCTTGAGGTCCAAAAGGTTGGCGACCCCTGCTATAGAAAACTCTATTCTGTGGTGTCCTTGGTACTCTCTGAGTTGGTTGTTGTAATTGCAGACATTTCATTACTCAACTAGGTAATATGATCAGTGCACAGTTACCTATTGGCAGTTATCTATTGGGTAATGAAATGTCTGCAAGAAAACAACCAAGCTCAGAGAACAACAAGGACCCCACTGTTCAACCCCGAGCTACAAATGTTCTCTTCTATCACGAGAATTCTATTCACTCACTCAGATTCCATGAGCCCAAATGAATTCCAGATTTGTATTACTTTTTTAAATGAACTAAACTTCTTAATGAATGGGTCTTAATGGGCTTTATTTAATGACAGATAATTTTTCAAAATTCAGATTTTATACATGATTCAACATTATTTTAAAGTTTTCCCATTGTGACATCCGTCTTTTATAGAAATGGTTCTCTACATTTTGAAATGAAACAAAATATCTAATGGAATTAAATAATGGAGGAAGTACCAATAAAGGAGAATATTTGTAGCTCAGGGCTGAAATAAATATTAGCACTGGTAATGTTACCAAATTTGGGTAATGAAACATGCAAGAAAACAACCAAGCTCAGAGAGCACCAAGGGCTTCTCATTGGAGGAAGTACTGTACTTTAGACCAGGAGTCCCCAACCCCTAGTGACTAGTCCATGGACTGGCACTGGGCCACAGCATGCCAGAAACCGGGCCATGCAAACAAGTGAAGTGAATGTATGTTAATTATTAGTGTTACAATTATGCTTAAAATATAAGTTGACATAGAAGTAACTCGATGATTTCTAACAGGTATACAGTCACTCATGCCCCAGTCACAGCCAGATCTACATAGGGCCCTAGTCAAGAGTGTTGCTAGCTCCTTTTAAAGGTCTACATTACACAAAACTGGACTGGTGGTTTGCAGCTAAACAGTGTGGCTGACAAAAACAAAACAAAAAAGATATATAAGGAGATCTTCATGCAGAAGATCTCCTTATATATGAGTGCGTACATATGTGAATGAATATAGTCTTCAACTTATAACCATAATTGAGATCAAAACTTCCATTGCTAATTAAAGCAGGTGTTAATGAGTTTTCCCCCAGGTGTAGCTGCTCAGCAACCTCATGAAATCAGCCATTTTTTTTCATTCTCCTTCTACATTGGTTGGGAGGTATATTCCAGCATGTCTTTCCTGAGCTTCGTTGTGATTTTTTTACTGCCTGCCTGCCTGCCTGCTTGCTTCATTCATGTAATTTAGAAGCTGCCCAACTCCATTAAACTTTGTGTGGCTTTCTATGCTAAACAGTATCATTCCCTGTCTCTCAACTCCTATTTCACACTCACTCTGCCTGTAGTAGCAGGTTCCTAAGTTGTAGTTATTTTTTTAATGAAACAAAAATTAACCTCTCTTTTGAAAGGATTTGTACAAAAAAGAGATTATTATGTTGACAGATGACTTTTAGAAAACCATTGGTTTTTCTACCAGTATGTTTAAAAATAGATTTGTAAACTTGTACAGTACATTTAGGCTGTTTTATTGCTCAAGTCTAAAGTTTTTAAGAACTGGCGCGTCTCTGTTGACATTCCTCTGTGGTTTTAGTCTTATATCCACTTTCTCAGAGTAGGTCTGATTAAATTCAGTGGGAGTTGCTTTTGGATAGGCCTTTTAAGGATGGGTGACAATAGCCACAAGCCATGTTTAAATGAGAGATGTTACTATTTCTCTTGTGTGCAGAGATATTATCCTGGCTCCTGCACTAACATGTTCTGAATTTCAACATATATGAAATATATTGCATTGCATTCCCCAGTTCCAGTGGTGACAAGTT